GTGTGGTAGCAATCTTTATTTTTATTAGTTGTTGTTGATTTTCCGGGCTTTTTCTTTATTTTCCTCTTGCTAAGCAAATTAATTTTCTCCATCTGTGCTCTCACTCCTTGCCATGTATTCATTTGATACTTCAACCACCTCAAAGGAGCTCCATCTAGAGATGTCAGCCTCCAGGGGGGACCTGGGGATCCCCCCCAAATTAACAGCTCATCTCCAGACTACGGAGATCAGTTCCCCTGGAAAAAAAATGGATGCTTTGGAGGGTGGACTGTATGGCATTGTATTCCACTGAGCCCCCTGTCCTCCCCAGCTCCGCCCCCAAATCTCCTGGAGTTTCCTAAAGCTTAGCAACCTTCCCCCCATCCCCCGCTGGTGGCCAGGGGGGACCTGGCAACCCTAGTTCCATAGTAGTGATCCACTCAGCAACAAGTTCAGTAAATTCTTTTGGGGGGGGAGTCCTCAGTTTGCTTTTGGTGGGGGTCTTATCAGAGGGACTAGGCTTAAAAAGGCTTGTGCTACCCATGGCAAACCTGTACTACCCATGGCAAGCCTCACTGCCATGGACTCTTGGCCAGCTGCCATTCGTTTCAACAGGGGTTGTGTAAAAAATGTGGAAAACAAAAATTAACGTCATGCAGCTGATGCCAGTTTTGGTTTCTGATGCACCAGAGCAATAACCTAGAGAATTTCCTTTTCTACTTTGTGAAAATGTTTGTCTTATGTATTTTTTTTTCCCTGGCATTGCAAAGCACTTGACAAAATTCCCATCACAAGATTAAAAGTTAACTTTAATGTTTCTGATGGTAATTCAAAGTCTTTTAATATCAACAGATGTAGGATTAGATTCAGACTAATTGTTGTACTGGTTAAATTATATTTTGAGATCATTTCCACTCTGTTTAAAAAAGAAAAATAACAATTCCTTTGAGACTCATGACACATCTTGCCAAGCATGGTTACTTTTGTGCTGCTTTGTAAAAATCCATTTATCTGTGGAAGACAATGTAGAACTCTTTCTTAGGACTCATATTTCTGCTTTTTTGCTTGCATCTACCAAAATGGAACTGAGAGATGTACTCTAAGCTATTCAAATTAAATTTAGTATCTAATTATGTTTTGTTTTAATCAAAGCAGAACAGATGTTCGCACAGCACTGACAATGCTTAGACCAGCATCTAGAAAAGTAGGGTTCTGAAAGAAAGAACTGGATGATAAGGAAAACAAATGGGTGAAGAAGAATGTTTGAAGACCAACGGCTCAGAGCACAGCGGGTGGTGGCACATCTAGCTGTATGCCTTCTAGTCATTGCTTTATGGTATGGAGGCTGATGAGGGGGCTCCCCAGTAAATAACAATGAGATTATACAGCTTATATATTGTTTTATTAATCGTTTTAAGAAAAAATGGGTTGCTATGGTATAAAGAGAACCTCTTATACATGAATTTAATAATTGGGTCAGACAAGTAGTCATTTCAATCCAGTATCCTGGCCCCAAAAGGGGTCAGATTTGGATGTTTTAAGTCTTTTATCTGCCCCAGGCTGTAACATTATTAGGAGTGTCCCTATAATGAATTTGCTGAGCTTGCCCACTTAATAGCTGTTGATATTCTTACCTTTCATTAATTTGTACAGAACCTCTTAAATTGCAGTTATAATTTTGACAGTTACTGTTTCAAATGACAGAGTTCTCAAAATCAACTGTATAGAACCAGCACCATGCTTATTTAAAAATCAGTTCAAATTTTTCCCTCCCAATAATTTATAGTATATCATGGGAGAGGTACACATTGGAACAATGTTTCCTTTAACTATTTTCTGTTTTTGTTAAGCTGTCTCTGTATTCATTTAAGAAAAAACTTCTCTGAAAACTTACCTTGCATATGTCCCATTGAAAAGAATGAGACTTATACACCAGCAGGAATTTTTAATGTGATCTTGTACTGTTCCTGGTCATTTCATTAAAATCTTACTGGATCCGATCAATCTAGTACAACATCATATTTCCAACACTGGCAAGAATATGTTTCCAGGAAGCCTATAAACTAGGCATGAAGGCAACACTTCTCTACTGTTTGTCATATACAAGCTACAGAGGTACACTGCCTCTGAACTTGGAGGTTTTGTTTGGTTTTTTGTGGCTAGTAGCTGTCAACAGACTTTGTTTCAGGAAGGTATCTAACTCTTTGTCAAACCTGTATAAGCCAGGTTTTCCGGTTTTGGCATCTGCAATGGTGGCCACGGTCTCCTGAAGCTGCGGGAGCCATGCGCCAGTGCCTGCGGCTGGGAGAGGGTGTGAACATCCACACCACCCCTGGAGCCTGTGCGAAGGGCTCCCAGCCATGGGGCACTAGAAGAGCTCTTCCTCCGGCTACTGGCCTGTGAAGGGGGGCTCCTCCATACCCCGAAGGTCCCACCATGGTGCATCTGAGAAGGAACTAAAAACGCACATCGGGACAAGCATTTGGTGGTTGAGCACATTGTGATTGAGAAACGTGGCACAGTGATGGCGGACGCCTTTCCCAGCTCTCTGGGAAGGCATGCCACACAGCAGCGGGGGGGAGGTGCCGCTGGATCAGCACCTCCATGGGGGTTCGGGGGGAACTCCCAGGCCATAGGGCTTTTGAGGGTGAGCCTCTTTTCCTGCTATCTGCAGGGCGATGGAGGCTCCCCTCTGCCCTGACGGTCCCTCCTGCTGACTGCGTCCTCTCAGCGAGGCCATAAGCTGTGTTGATCTGGTCAAGCACAGGAGATCTAGCGGAGGAGCGATCAAGAGCGTGGTCAAGATAAAAACCAACAATGAACTGTGAGTTAAGGAGCGAACTGTGAGTTAAAATGAGCGAATTGTCTTAAGAAGAGAAATCCCCCCCCCCCCAAGAAAAACTTTTTGAGCGATCGGAACTGTGCTGAGAGAGGGACGCTTCTCAGATGCATTTAAATAAGTGGAGAAGAGGGGGATAGAAAGAGAAACGATTGTAAACGGATACTTTGAAGCGAACCCCCCCGATAGCTCTTAAGCGATTGAACCGTGCTGAGAGAGGGATATCTCTCTGACGCATTTATAAAAGCGGAGGGGAGGGGAGAGAGAGAGACGGCTGTAAACGGACATTTCTGAAAGACTTTATTTTTAAGTGTACAGGCCTGTTGTGGGAGATATCCATGAGCATCTAAGCGATTAAACAGCGTAAAGTGATTTTCAGAGCCGGGGAGAAAGCGATTTTATATTGAAAATAAAGCATTAAAATGGAGGACACTCCAAAAAAGTTGGTGAAAACAACTCCAAGAAGAAGGGAAGTAGACGTTATTGCACTTATAGCAGAAGCCGATTCTAGAGCAACTTGTTGGTATTAACCATCAGCTTGCCAAGACAAATCAACAATTTGTGTCCCGGCAGCTCCAGTTGGCAACAATAGCAGAAAAAATAGAACCGAGGGCTTTTAAAGCGAAAGAGTTGGACACTAAATTAAACAGCGATTTCAATGAAAAAAGAAGGAAAACTACAAGAGAAACAGGAAAGATTTACAAGGACTTAACTACTTCCTTGCAAGTGTTCTCAGAAAGTGTCACTTTAAATCCTGCTGAGAGAAAAGAACTTGAATTTGCCTTCACAATCAAGAAACCTTTGAGACGCCACTAGGCCCCGAGGGCGAGACCAGAAAGGAAGACGCTCAAGATTGGCGGTTTTATCCCTTTGAAGAAGGAGGAAGACTGGGCTGCAGAATCTGGAGTGAACGTCTAAGAAGCTATTAAGATTTTAGAGAGTCTTAGTGTAGATGTAAAGGTGGAAGGACTCTGAAAATTGCCTTTATGAAGTGAGCTGGAGGAGATGCTCAGGAAATCTTCTCATAACAAGTAACAAACTAACATATAAGCTTAGAAAGACAAGTTCTCACAAAGTATATTGTTTATTAACAGCTTTTCTTTTTATTACTAATGGTAGCTTAACAGGGAATGATCTCCTAACCTTGGGTTTTTAGTGTAGTGTGGGTTGCTTTCTTTCTCCCTAGTTGTAGTTACCCTTTCCCTATTTTTTCTTGGTAGTTTTTGTAGTATTAAAAAAAATAAAAAATCCCCTCCGTGAGTTCTACAACGAAAAGTAAGTATTGGTTTAAGCAAAGGCATCAAAATCCAAGCGGAAAATTCCCCTTAAACAAAGTGAGGGGAGTGGACCTTTTCTCAGAAGAAATAAACATGGACTTTGCAAAGGGAAATCTGAAGGGGGTTGCAGGCTAATATAAAGAACTTTTGAGAACTTACCAGGCATCTGTAGTTTGTCCTTGCCCTGTGTTTTTGGCACCATTGATTTATGTTTTTCTTTGATTTCCTCAGTCAAAATACATTTTCTGACTTCACTGTGGCTGTTTGGACATCTTTAACTTTTTTGATACAATTTAAGTGGCGTGCTAATTTATATTGGAATGGACTGAATAGAAAGCATTTTTTTAAACTGCCCCCAAAGGGGCAGGGTTTTATTACATTTTCCACATAACATACACAAACAATCATAACCTATACATACATACAAACAGTACAAACAGATACATGGAGGTTATTTTTTTACCAATATTTATACTGGTGCCTATTCCACCTTAATAGCAATTTCTCATGAACTGTGTAAGCAACTTTTCTGTCTCTATTAACCCAACAGGTATATATTTCATTTAGTAAACTCTTAGTCTGTCTCTTGCAAGCTTGCCTACATATATATATCATACCAATTATAAAACCATGACCAAGTATTCTAGAACGTCGAATCTGTTGCGCCTTTTATCAATAAAGTCAATTTATCCAATTCCGCAGCCTCCAAGATTTTATTTACTAGTTCTCGCTTTGTTGTTATCTCTGGTAATTTCCAATATTTTGCATAGAGAATTCTTGCAGCCTTAGTGATTGATTGAATAGAAAGCATTTTAATAAAAGAATCAGAATGCATGCTGTGAAACTTTGTGTCATGTCTGCTTTTAGGTTCATAATCAATTGACTGTGTCTTTGTTCATTTACAGTTTGAAATGCTGACGGGATCATTACCATTCCAGGGGAAGGACAGAAAGGAGACAATGGCTCTCATTCTCAAGTGAGTTGTAAATTCCAACTTGCTTGCCTGGTGTTCTTTTCTTCTAAATAATCTATTTGAACTAAGCATATTTACACATATGAAACATGTAGGAGAAATTCATGGAGAAATTAAAAATTTCAGATGTTCATTAAACAGAAGAGTATCAGAGGGGCATCGATCTAAGGAAATGTGAAAATTTTAAAATGTGTCAGACTTTAGGACCCAGTTTTAATCCCCAACACTTAGCATGGAGCCCAATTTAAGTTATTTATTATATAGCTCCATCTCTCCCATTTGGACTCAGGATTCGTAATGTTGCCCCGATATTGTCTGCTCATTCCCTCAGAGCTACTGTGGCATGACACATCATAAGTAAAACATTGTTGTAAAAATTACTTCTGCAAAGTCTTACATAGTTCTGGGCTTCTTTTGCTCCCCTTAGTTAGAACAGGAAAAAAGAAAATTCCAGATGTGGGTGTAGTGCTTTTGCAAACTGGAGACATTCTGAATTAGCATACCTGTCTCTGTTGGAATGGTGCCAGTGCCTGTGATTATTCCTTCTACTCCAGATGGGCTAGCAGGGACAGCATTAAGCAACTTAAAACAAAAGATAGGCATTCAAAAAAAACTTTTAATGGGTATGTTTTCTGCAAAGTACCAATTTTATTATATAACTGATTTTTTTTCCAGCTAGTCCTGGTAACAGATGGAGTAAAGCCCAAGATACAGGGCATACCAGGTAGAAATAATTGCAAGGCAATTAAAAGGACAATTAGACAGGCCTTGGTTGGGGCCGGGGTGTGCTGGTACGGTGCTCCGGGAGTGAGGTGCCTGGGGGGTGGGCACATGACAAAGCCCTGCCCCCTGCAGCCCTCAGTCGGCACAAGGAGGCAGAAGAAGAAAGGTAAGCTGCCTGCCTCTCGCCCCATCCCTGGTTTCTTCGGGCTGCGTGGAGGTACGGCGACCCCGGAAAGGCCTCCTGCCCCATCCCTAGCTTCCTCTAGAGCCACCGCTCCTGCCTTTCTCTGCTTGCCCGCCAAGGTGGACGGGCAGAGAAAACCCTCCGGAGCGCCCCCCGCCTTTCTCTGCTCGCCCGACGAGGCGGATGGGCAGGGAAAGACCTGCAGAGGCACCCCGCACCATTCCCTGTGTGTGTCTGCACGTGTGCCCCTCTGTGGGTTCTCTCTTCCCCTTCTGTGTGTGTCTGTCTGTCTCTCTCTCTGCCCCTTCTGTGTGTGTGTGGCTGATTTCCCACAAACTACTGCTCCACGTTCATATCTCCCTTTGCCCCGATCGTATGTGTCAATTTCACACCATGGGCTGTGCGGCCGCATTTTGTTCCGCAGCTTCACCCAATTTCCCCCACGTCTACTCAATCCTCACAAAACAGGATTGAGTAGACGCGGGGAAAATCGAGAAAAGCTGCAGAGCAAAATGCAGCCGTGCAACACATGGTGTGAAATCGACACATACGATCAGAGCAAAGGGAAGAATGAGCATGGAGCAGCAGCTTGTGGGAAATCAGCCTGTCTGTCTGTCTCTCTCTGCCCCTCTGTTCCTCTCTCTGCCTCTCTCTGCCTCCCTCTCTTCTCTCTCTCTCTCTCTCTCTCTCTCTCTCTCTCTCTCTCTCTGCCCCTTCTCTCTCTCTGTGTGTGTCTGTCTGTCTGTCTCTCTCTCTGCCCCTCTGTTCCTCTCTATGCCACTCTGTGTGTGTGTTTGTGTCTGTTTCTCTCTGTCTCTCTCTCTCTCTGCCTCTCTGTTCTTCTCTCTGCCACTCTTTGTGTGTGTCTGCCCCTGTGTGTTTGTTTGTTTGTCTCTCTCTCTCTGCCCCTTGTGTGTGTGTGTCTGCCCCTGTTTCTCTCTCTGCTGCTCTGTGTGTGTTTGTCTCTATGTATGTGTCTGCCCCTCTCTGTGTGTGTCTGTTTGTGTTTCTCTTTCTGCCCCTTCTCGCTCTGTGAGTGTGTGTGTGTGTCTCCGCCCCTCTGTTTCTCTTGTTCTAAATAGTTTTTTATGTGGGGTTGTAGTATGTTTTATATTTTATTATGTTGCCCCAAGAGCCTTTGGGCTGTAAGGAGAGATACAAATTGTTCAAGCAAATAAAACAAACAAATAAACAAACAATGATCTACACAGGAAACCTGGTATAACTATATATATTTACTTTGGCCATTTAAAGTATGACTTTTATGAAATAGCTGCTATATCTCTGTAATTGGTCCAAAAGGTCCTAAATTTTATAGGTGTGATGAACTATGGAAGACATTTGTCTTTTTCACACATGATTTCTTTTTGTTGTTCAGTCGCACAGTCGAGTCCGACTCTTCGCGACCCCATGGACCAGATCACGCCAGGCCTTCCTGTCTTCCGCCGTCCTCTGAAGTTTGCTCAATTTCATGTTCGTTGCATCTATGACACTGTCTAATCATCTCATCCTTTGCCGTCCCCGTCTTTGACCTTCAATCTTTCCCAGCATCAGGGTCTTCTCCAGTGAATGCTCCTTTCTCATTTGGTGGCCAAAGTATTTGAGCTTCAGTTTCAGTATCTGGCCTTCCAGGGAACAGTCAGGGTTGATTTCCTTTAGGATTGACTGATTTTATCTTCTTGCAGTCCAAGGGACTCTCAAGAATCTTCTCCAGCACCATAGTTCAAAAGAATCTATTCTTCGGCGCTCGGCCTTCCTTATGGTCCAACTCTCGCAGCCATACATGACTACTGGGAATACCATTGCTTTGACCAGGCAGGGTGATGTCTCTACTTTTTATCATGCTGTTTAGGTTCGCCATCGCTTTCCTCCCAAGGAGCAGGCGTCTTTTAATTTCATGGCTGCTGTCACAGTCTGTGGTGATCTGGGATCCCAGGAACATGAAGTCTGGCACTACTTCCACGATTTCCCCTTCTATTTGCCAAGGAGTGATGGGGCCGGATGCCATGATTTTAGTTTTTTTGATGTTGAGCTTCAAGCCCACTTTTGCGCTCTCCTCTTTTACCCTGAGCAAGAGGCTCTTTAGGTCCTCTTCACTTTCTGCCATTAGAGTGGTATCATCTGCATATCGGAG